ACTGGATGGAGAAAAGGATGGCTGCGATGATGGCATTTCTTAGGACACCTTTGGATTAATCGTGAAAACAACTACTCTCTGAGCAGCTGCTGGTAGCATTTAATACAGATTTAAACTGTATAAGTTCCTGTGTAAATATGTATTGAAAGATATACTGCTCCCTTCCAGGTGACCTCTGAAAATGGTTCGCTACTCACTTGACCCAGAAAACCCCACAAAATGTAAGTGAACAAGAGTTACATATTTCTTATTTGGGGGTAAGAGAAACAAGATACCCAAAAGTAACTGAAATGTTCTCTATTTTTTAGCATGCAAGTCAAGAGGTTCAAATCTTCGTGTTCACTTTAAGGTACGTGAATCATAGTTATGCTCTAAAAGAGTTGTTTTGAGTGTTCTGGTGAGCATTTTTTTACCTTTCTGAAAAGGTAGCTGCAGTGTTTTCTTCCTTAGGACACCTTTGGATTTACCGTGAAAAGTAATCAATTCTGAGCAGCCACCTTCTAGATATTATCAGTGTGTAATGACCAGAGAACTACTTTAGAACCTAGTGTGTGGATCAAGCTATAAGACACATAATTGTAGTTAACAAGATGATTGAATTAAAACATCACAGTGAATGAATAGATTAAGGATTCAGTTTTCCTGAGGTTCAAACCAAGCCTCCCTGACCCTTAATCACAGATTTTTTTTCCCAGCTCCCATGAAAATGGAAGGTTTTAGCTGTTAATATATGTTGACATTTTGAGAATCCGAGAATTTAATGTTTACTTTAAAAATTGTGGTGCTTGCCTGGGTGGGCATGGCTCAGTGGTTGAGCATCGACCTAGGATCCAGCAGATCACAGTTCGATTCCCAGTCAGGGCACAAGCCCCAGCTGTGGGCTCAATCCCCAGTCAGGGGCATGCAGGAGGCAGCTGATCAGTGACAACTGTTTCATCATCGATGTTTCATCTCTCTTCCTTTCTCTGAAGTCAAAGATAGATTCTTATTTTTTTAAAAATTGTGATACTTTAATATGGTTAACTCCCAGTTTATATTTATATTTAGAACACGCGTGAAACTGCCCAGGCCATCAAGGGTATGCATATTCGAAAAGCTACCAAGTATCTGAAGGATGTCACTTTACAGAAGCAATGTGTGCCATTCCGTCGTTACAATGGTGGAGTTGGTAGGTGTGCCCAGGTGAGAACTAATGGTTGCTATTTGAAAAGACAAATTGTAAGGGAAAGTAACTGGATGGGATGGGATGGAAATGGCTAAGATCATTAATCAGGCTGTTTCTGGTTGCTGTGATGACAGTCTTAGGACACCTTTGGATTAACCATGAAAAAAAAAACATGTTCTGAGCAACCTTGAAGTGAATATAAAGTCTTTTTTTTTTTTAGTACATTTATTAAAGCTGGGGAGAGTAAAACAAGGAATGACTTGGGACAGAAGAAGCAAAATGAGACTGGGCAGGGCTGCTGTCAGCTCACTGGAAAGTTAGAGAAAAGGGGGCATTGGGGACAGATTCAGGAGGTTAGCCCTGGACAAGCCGCTGCTGGCCATTCCTCCCCTGGTTGCAAGTCTCTGTGGGGTCCCTTAGAGTTTAGGAGGTGCATGCCTGTAGGGGAAGAAGAGGGGGAAAAGAAAGGTGTGGGCATGCTCCCACGAGGGAGAGTGGGCCATAGATTAATCTTGATTGTTAAATCAGGAGAAATGACTAATAGCCTCCCTTCATTTTCTTTCAGGCGAAACAGTGGGGCTGGACACAGGGTCGGTGGCCCAAAAAGAGTGCTGAATTTTTGCTGCACATGCTTAAAAACGCAGAGAGCAATGCTGAACTTAAGGTACCCAAAGCATTAACATCTTTATGTGTATCCAACTTAGATGGTTGGTCAATTAATGTTGCTGTTGTCCAGATTTATTATACAACAATAAAACACTACTGCAAAGAAACAAATACAAGTACCAAAATTATTGCCTTAGTAATAGTTAATGTGGTTTGTTGCCTACATTCTTAATGGAGAGACATGTTAAATTTCACTTAGAAGTTAAAACATTGCAGTCAGCAAACGCAGGTTTATCCATTTGGGGCATTATCCATCACCCTTTTGATCTTTGGCTGTAACCCTTCTTTTTTTAAAATATATTTTTAATGATTTTTAGAGAGAGAGGAAGGGGGGGAGAGGGGAGCATCAGTGTTAGAGTGGAACATGGATCACCTGCCTCTTGCACGCTTCCCATTGAGGATTGAGCCCACAACCTGGACATGGGACCTGACCACAACCTTTCCGTGCACAGGACAATGCCCAACCAACTGAGCCACACAGGCCAAGGTTGGCTTGTAACCCTTGTAGTTGCTATAAGCCAGGCTGACAAAATCTTGTTCATTATCAAAGCTTGGGAATTGATGCTACTATTAATGATCTTTAACATGCGCTTAACACTGAATTTTGGTAGTTACTTAGATTTAATTTAATGAGGACATTTAGAATCGTTTAAAGCAACTGCTTGAATAAATATGTGACTTAAGTTCTTAAGGATTGCCTTTCAAAAATGAGTTTATTAAGGCAGAGACTTAATTTTCCAATGATGGTGTTAAGATAAATGTGTTAACTGAGTATGTTCCCTTTCCCTTCTTAGGGTTTAGATGTAGATTCTCTGGTCATTGAGCATATCCAGGTGAACAAAGCTCCCAAGATGCGACGTAGAACTTACAGAGCTCATGGGCGGATTAACCCATACATGAGTTCTCCCTGCCACATTGAGATGATCCTTACTGAAAAAGAGCAGATTGTTCCTAAACCAGAAGAGGAGGTTGCACAGAAGAAAAAGGTAAATTACTTAGTCTTTGCTCAGTTTCAGTGTATATTAGATTTGTGGTTGCTGTGATGACTAACTTAGGACACCTTTGGAATAACCATGAAAGGAAACTATTCTGAGCAACCAGCAACCTTGTATTTTATTTTGACTTTTATAGGTCTTATTTGTTTCTTGACTAATAGTGAATCATAACTTTGTACTATTCATTACATCAAATTGATTATCTACTAGAGGTCCTCACCTAGATGTCCATAGCCACATCAAATGCAACATGTCCAAAAATGCCCCCAAATCTAATAAGCCTATTTTCAGTAAATGATAATTCAGTGTGAGTATTTTTTATTATAAGTAATTGCTTCATATCACTATAAGTTGAAATGCAGCATAGTGGTTTGATTACTTATATTGTGAAATGATTCCCACAGTAGGTCCTCATAAAAACAGTAAAAATAAAGAAAAAATTATCTCCTTATCATAAGAACTCTTATGATTTACTCTTCCTATCAACTTTCCTATGTATCTTACAGCTTGGTTAGCTATAGTCATGTTCCCATTCAGTTTTGTAAGCCAGGAAGCTGGGAGTGATTCTAGAATCCTCCCTTCAACGTAATAGATTTCACTTGTATTGATACTGTTACTTAAATATCCTCCTGGGTGTCCCTGCCTTCAGTGAACATCAGCTTAAACTCTCCTTCCCTACTTACTCTAATTTTCTCCTGCCTGTCCCTCCCTTCATACAACATTTCTTTCCCTTTATGTTGAAATTTCCAGTTCTTTCACTGAGCTAAGACCTACTCCTTTAAGATGGTAGTGTGGCCCACCTGGGTGTGACTACATGGTTGAGCATCCACCTAGGATCCAGGAGATCAAATGAGGCTAGATTCCTGGTCCAGGCACATACCTGGGTTGTGGACTCGATCCCCAGCCAGGGGGGCATGCAGGAGGCAGCCGATGAATGACTCACTCATCATTAATGTTTCTCCCTCTCCCTTTCTCTGAAACCAATAAAGATTTTTTTTTTATTTTTTTTTTTTTAATTTTTTTAAAGATGGTAATGTGGGTGTTTCTTCAGGAGACTTAACAGTCCTTTTTATTTTTTTCTATCCCCAGATATCCCAGAAGAAACTGAAGAAACAAAAGCTTATGGCCCGGGAGTAAAATCAACATAAAATAAATACTAATGAAAGTAATGTTGGTTGTCTTTATTAGTAAATATATTTCAAGTGGTCAAACACGTTTTCTTCTGATTAGAATTAAAACAGATTATTCTGTTTGCCCTCTGCCATTAATTTGGTTCACAGACATACTGTCTTGGATGTATTGCTTTTTTGCTTAAGATGGAATTGGAACATGGGAAGTTCTGAAATTTTCCAGCCACTTATTGAGATTTAACACAGTACAATGGATCTTAGTATATTGTGCATCTATCACTAAAATCGATTTTAATCACCCCAGAGAGGAACCTTGGCAGTGGATAGCTGTTACTCTCATCCAGCCCTAGGGAACCACTTACCTATAGGTAGGCCTGCTCTCATATCTCATGAAAGAAATCACACTATGTGGCCCATTGCCACTGGCTTTGACTTAAGAGTGTTAGTTGAACATTTGGGGTTTTTTTAAGCTATCAAAAATGGTGCTTCTGTGCACCTTTGTAAATTTTAGTATGGGCATGTTCTCATTTCTCTTAGGTAGACTGCAAGACCGGAGTTGCTGTTTGAAGTGGTAACTGCCAGACTCCAAAGCAATTGTGCCATTTTCAAATACCACTAGCAGTTCCAGGTTTCTCCACATCTTCAACACTGGTAGCTATTGTAGTGGGAGTGAAGTGGCACAGTTATTCCTTTTAAACTAATGGCCAATTAAAATTGACTTCATTTGTCCTGCTTTTGAATTTAATGCCCTTTTAACTAGGAGAGGATGGTTTAGGCACAACTCCATTTGAAAACTGCCTAACTTGCGAGTGGAGTGACCTTCCCTATGGTGGTGAACCATTGGCACAGGCGTTATTTTCTTGGATCGATGTTTTGAATTGCCTAGTATTTAAGGGCAGGGAAGGGCGCTTGTGTATGGGAGTGCCTGGGGAGCTCGGCTCTTCGCCCGCGGGCTTGGAGGTTAAGGCGCGGAGTCGAAGGCACCGCCTAGTCCCCGCCCCGGCGTCACCAATACGTCTTGTGTGTCGTCAGGCTGACGCAGGCACCGGTTTACCTGCCCCTTTTGCTGTGTCCATTGGCTCGGCTGCAGCAGGTCCCTCCCTCCGGAAGTGCGGACATTTCCTCTTGGGCTTGGTGGTCGCTGGTGAGTGGGGTCGGGCGGCCTGGGGCTTTGGGCTGGGGAAATGGGGCGGGTTCACTGGCCTCGGCGCTGCCGGCTGCTCCGCAGGCTCCGGACCGGGTTCCCGCTGACCGAGCCCCGTCGCAGCTCCGCTGGGCCTCGCGGCCCGTGCGCGCTCACGGTGGACCCCGCTTAGCCCTCCAACGCCCCGCCGTGGCCTGTCCTCCCTCCCCTTTCATCTCGCCCTCCGTCTCCGTCCACCCACCCGCCTGGCCTCGTTTCTGCATTTCCCTGTATGTACGTTTATTCTCTCTCTTGGCCTGAATTGTCGGTTCCTTCCCCTTTCTATTCTCTTCACCATTCGCCCTTATTCTCTCCTGTCTTTTCGAGCGTCCTTTCTCAGTCAACCTGCCCTGCTCTTTCTAGTCTCCAGTAAAATCATGTGCCCAACTGGGTTACTTACAGGGAGGTGGCGTACCCCACTCCACCTGCCCGGCTTCTGATAGAGCCTCCACTTTTCCTCTCTATTCTGTTGTACTGGATTAAATCAAATGAAAGAAAATTCCTCTCCAACTGTTTTAATCCGTCTTGCTTACTTTGTTGTAGCATCCGAGAATTGGTTTGTAGAGATTAAATAAAATAATTTTATCAATTTTATCATAGCCACCTTCTGGACCTTTCTAAGCCACAGTTTCCACTGTATGATGTAAAATAACTCATCGAAGAATCACTATGAAGATTAAGAGATGAAATACAGTAGCTTCATTCTGAAGAGAGCTGAAAAGTTTGATAAAGCCATAATTATGACAAAACTGATTAGTAGTATTTTTCTCAAGAGTTTATTGAAAACACAATGTGTATGTACTTACTTAAAACACAATTACAATTAACGATGAATCTTTATGATGGAGGGATTGCCAAACATCAATTTAGCTTAGTGCTCAGAGCCTTGTCAGTTGTTTTGAAAGACTGGTTTAGTTTGAAGGTTAGGTAGGAGGGGAATTAACATAATCATTGTGTCTTTGGACGGGGTAGAAACAGGAGCCTTGAGCTAGGAAACCAGACCTCAGAATTCTGATCTTAACCAGTTCTAGTTACTTGTTACCTTTGTGTGAACTTTGGACAGGTCACAACTTTAGGCTTTTTTTTTTAAGTAATAGCACTTAATATATGCAGACACTCTTGTGAGCTTTGTATGCATATTAACTTATCTAATCCACATCCCTGTGAGGTGTAGGTACTCTTATTGTCTACATTTTACACATGAGGGAATTAAGGCACAGACTGGTTAAATAATTTGCCCAAGAACACCTTATAGAAGGTAGGGAAAGCAGATCTCAAATCAAGGCAGCTGCCAGCCGGTCCACTTGATTGCTATGCAGTGGTACCTCTTAAGACTGTGCAACACCTAAACCAAACCACCTCTTAAGTCTCTCCAGATCACATTCTAAATGTTTGTGACCAAAAATAATTCCTTGAAAAACGGTTAAGCCCAGCTGACATGGCTCAGTGGTTGAGCATCCACCCATGAACCAGGAGATTGAGGTTCCATTCCCAGTGGGGGCACACGCCTGGGTTACCGGCTTGATCCTCAGTAGGGGGTGTGCAGGAGGCAGCCCATTGATGTTTCTCTCTCTCTTTCCCCTCTCTGAAATCAATAAAAAACATTTTTTAAAAAAGAAAGAAAATCAGTGAAGAAAGAATCACCATTCATTTGGCTTTAAAATATTTTGGTAAATTCTTAAATTGTTACTTTAATTTGACTAGGGGATCTTTTTAAAGAATCCGGTTATACATTCTTTGTAAAATAGATCGTCATTCATTGATGTACATTTGGATTTTTATCTATAGCTCTTGTAATTTATTTAAAAGTCATTAAGATTGAATTGTCAATGCCATTCTTCACTTGTATTGTGAATAATTTTAAGTTGCCTTAGTGTAGTCATGATGAAATTTTAACATCTTGCATTACTAGCCTTATGCAGTGTTCTGAAGCTTCTTAGTTTTTAGGGCCTACTCTAAGGGATTAAAAATTATTGTAAATTTTAAAAGTCTTTGGTTTAACAGTATATTGTAGAAGTAATATTTGTTCTTTTTCTTTTCTTTTTAATCCTCACCCAGAGGATATTTTTTCCATTGCTTTTCAGAGATAGTGGAAGGGGGGGAGAGACAAACATCGATGTGAGAGAGAGACATAGATTGGTTGCCTCCCACACACACCCCAACCGGGGCCAGGGACAAGCCGGCAACTGACCCAAATTCAACCCGGCACCCTTCAGTCCATGGGTCTGTCACTAACCACTGAGTAAAACCAGCCAGGGCATATTTGTACTTTTTCAAGAAATTGCTGATTTTGAGAAATTCCAAAGTGATTTCTAATTATCAAGGAAATTAGATGTGTTAATTTTTGGAAATAAACAATTTACTTACAATAATAATAATACACTAATAAAATTTTTATTACACAGTATACCTTAATTGTCATTAAAAATAAAGGCAATTATATCAAGGGAGAATTGTCACCTGGAAAAGGCAAGTGGGTTTGCAGCTTAGGGGTCTTCCAAAGTGATCTCTTAGAGAGTTTCATATTACAATATTTGCCTTTAGCATTGCAGGTTTGGCTAATCATTATTGTCCTTGAAGGTGATCAGACCATTATACTCACACTAAACTGGAGTTAAGTCATAATTACCAAGTTCCTTAATGTTTTGTGCCTTCCTTTGCTTTATTGTAAATTAAGATAGCAAGGGTACCCAACTTCACTGGGTTTCTGATTAAATGAGCTATACAGTTGCCCTTCAGTATCCTCAAGGGATTGGTTCCAGGACACCCTGCCACCACACCCCTCCATACCGAAGTCCCCAGGTGCTCGAATCCCCTATATAAAATGGTATAGTGTTTGTAAACAGGCTACAGTAGGCCTAGACATCACTTCATTTGCATGGATTCAGTGAAGTGCTCTGTGCATGGCAAATACAAGTTTTGCTTTTGGAATTTTCTGGGATTTTTTTTTCCCAAATGTTTCGATTTGGGATTGGTTGACTCCATAATGTAAAACCTGGGGTTACAGAGGACCAACTGTTTATGCAAAGTGTTTAACTGCTTAGCACCTAGCAAATGTTGGTGTCTTTCCTTTATCATTAAATTTATTGTTGGGGAGAAGTGAGAGTGGATTGGAGGCAGGAATCTCACTATTATTTTCATGCCTACCACCTGTTATTCCTTTACCTTGCAGATAGCATCTTTAATAGATTCTTACTTTTAGCTAATAGTATGACCTAAGTTTTTTGTTCAATTAGAAATAGCCTTTCAAATATCTTAATCTAGGTAAATTCCTTTAGTCATTAATCTATGATGAACTAATTTGTTTTTTCTTTGTGTGTCTCAGCAGTTCAGGAGCTCCTACCTGGCACAATGGTGTGCATTCCTTGTATCGTCATTCCAGTTCTGCTCTGGGTCTACAAAAAGTTCCTGGAGCCATACATATACCCTCTGATTTCCCCCTTTGTTAGTCGTATATGGCCTAGAAAAGCTGTGCAAGAATCCAATGATAAAAGCAAAGGCAAACTAGACTATAAGGTAAGAACATTAAAATGCCTCAAATAAGGAAGGGTGGGTGAGGGGGGTGGTATAATCCAGGTAAAATACTTGGCTTTTGTAAAGGCAAGTCCTTGGAACCAGAAGCTTCATCAATGTGTCTCAATAGCCTTCTTTTTTAAAATAGGGGGTGCCTGGCTGGTGTGGCTCAGTGGTTAAGTGTCCACCCATGAACCAAGAGGTCATTGGTTCAATTTCTGGTCAGGGTACCTGCCCTGGTTTTGGGCTCGATCCCCAGTGGGGATGTGCAGGAGGCAGCTGATTGATGTTTCTCTCATTGATGTTTCTTTTTTTTTTTTAATCCTCACCTGAGGATATTTTTTCCATTGCTTTTCAGAGAGGGTGGAAGCAGGAGAGAGAGAGACAGACATCGATTGGTTGCTTCCTGCATACACCCGTACATGGGCTGAGCCAGCCACAGGGTGTGTGCTCTCTACTGGAATCAAACTGAGAGACGGTTCTGTCTTCAGGCTGATGCTCTAACCACTGAGCCAAACCAGCTAGGGCTCTTGTCTATGTTTCTCTCTATCCCCTCTACCTTCTTCTGTCATTAAAAAAAAAAATCGCCCAGCCAGCGTGGCTCAGCAGTTGAGCATCAACCTGACAATCCAGGAGATCAAAGTTTGATTCCTAGTCGGGAAGAGGCACATGCCTGGGTTGCAGGCTTGTTCCCCAGTAGGGGGCATGCAGGAGACAGCCAATCAATGACTCATCATTGATATTTCTCTCTCTCTCCCTGAAATCAACAAAGATATTTATATTTTTAAAATCAATAAAAAATATTTAAAATAGGGGGTTTCGGCTCTCTTACACCTTTCCCCAGATGAGTTAACTTTGCCTTTCACTCTCCTAAATTCCAAGGGCCCTTATTTTGCTTCTGTAACTTGTTTCCTGAACTTGTATTGCCCAGCTGGCTCACTTCTACTACCTTTGTAACTTTCTTGTTTGTTTTTTTGTTTTTTAAATATATCTTTATTGACTTTAGAGAGAGGGGGAGAGAGAGAGAGAGAGATAGAAACATCAATGATGAGAGAGTCATTGATCTCCTGCCTCCTGCAGGTCCCCCACTGGGGATTGAGCCCTCAACTCAGGCATGTGCACCGATTGGAAATCAAACTGCGATCTCCTGGATCATAGGTGGATGCTCAACCGCTGACACACACCAGCCGGGCCTACCTTTGTAACTTCCTAAATAAACTTTTTCTTATAATTTGAAAAATAAAATAGGGAGTTTGGGTATTTTTTGGTGTTTTTTAATAATTAATGTTTGGTTTAAACTAAAATTTTAAACTAGGCCTCTGATTAATGCATTTGCTCCTTGCCTTATGGCCAAGATAATAACCAGTATTTCCTGGCTGATAAGAGAAATGGTAAATAGTTAATGGGCAAGGAGAGATGATACTAAAATAAGCCAGTTTCACTGGCTGATAACTTTGGTAGGAGACTTAATTAGAAAGATCATAGAGATTTTTTGTTTTGTTTTTTTAACAAAATGAAGTTTTTAAAAAAATGAATATTTAGTATGTAGCATTGGTGCTTGTTTTTTTCAACTTCAATTGTGTTCAACTGCACTAAGCCATCCTACACAATTCTAGAAGCAGGGTTTTTTCATTCTGAAGTTTGTCTACTGTTTTCAAAGAGAACATCTCTTTATAATGAGTGTCTTTTAATAATCTCTAAAATGGTTTTTCATTTTAGGGTGCAGACATAAATGGATCACCAACAAAAGGATCAACAGAAATCTCTGATAAAAAGAAAGACTAAAGTGATTGTCGCAGAGGACCTCATTGTTTTCAAAATGGACCTAATAATCTGAAGCACCTTCTTTGTAATTGTCTCTGACCTTTTTCTCTTAGACCAGAATTTGGGATCGATGGTTTAGATATTTACCTGATACTAATCAGGAAATACATGGTATTTATATTTAAAATGTATTTAGTTATATTTAATGATCTCATTCCCAAGTTCTTTTTTCATTAAAGTAGTTTTAATAATATGAATAAATAGGTTTGTTCCAGTAGACACTGTTGCTAAATCAGTACCTAAACATCCTTGGGCTTCTAGCTTTTGTTCAGGCTCTTCGAATCTGAGTATATTTTTACTGTGAAACAGTACAGTGAGACTATGTGGTGAAATGAAAGGGAGTTTTTGGAGATGATAATGACTTGAAACATAAAGTTATAATTACTGCCCAACACAATGGAGCCCCTTATCTGTAAGAGTAGTAATTACTGGTTATTGCTCTGAAGAAAATAGCAAAGACAGGAAATAGAGGAAATTTCTTTGGAAAAAATGGGACACCTTTTCCATAAATGTCTAATGTATGTTATAAAATTATAATCTTTGTTGCATTCCTTCTATTCCTACAGAATGTATTAGTTTAGCTTGTGGTTAGGTGTTGTTTTTTTTTAAGTTTAAATATTTTTTTAAAGGGACATTTTTCACCACATCAGAAAGCAGAATTATAGTAGTACGATGGTATCTGGACAGTTCTGAGACAGCAATATTGTTTTTCTTTTTTAAAAAAGTAGATTGTATCAGTCATTTTTTATTGCATAACAAGACACCCCAAAACAGTGGTTTTCAACAACAGTGATGTGACTGGGCAGTTCTTCACTGTCTGGGCCTCTACATGGTCTTTCACCCCTGGGCTGCTTCACTTTAGGAACCTATAAACGTTCAGAGATAATGAGCCATGTCTTTATATCATATTTATTTATTCCCTCTGAGGCATAGCGAGGTTGGAAGGGACTTCTGCCTTTGGATCCCCAATGAAGTCCTGGGTCCTAACCAAGGTTCTGTTAAGCTATCCATCTGATCAAGTCATTGATTCACCGTGACTGCATTTGATAGAAATCAGTGGGTTTCAAGTTTTCTGTCTCAACCCACCTGAGGGAAAAGATAAATTACCTTTAGCAACTAAATTCCGTTGATCAACTTAGTTTGTTATTTAAGGTATAAAATCTATATTATAAAAGTAGCCGATGAGTTCATAGTAAAACAATGCAACAGAAAGTTAAATGAGAAGTTCATGTTCGTCCACTACTCTCATTCCCTTATTCCAGCTCCACAAATGTAAGCACTATTCTTTTGTGTAGCCTTCTAGCAACTTTCTTAAAATTCATTTGTTTTTATTAAATATATCATTTTTTAAAATTATAATATTGCAAGATATATAATGTTCCTACTCCCTTAGTCCCCAAAGGCTTTACTCATTTAGCTGATGCTTTTGTCTTGTATTTTATTTCTTTATTTCTAAATAATACATATATACTGCCATTTTTGGAGCTTTCAGCTTTCCACATTACTGACCTCCTGCCATGGTTGAGATATAGCTATCTTATACTGTATTCCCTCTACTTCTCCCACACGTCCTCTGTATAGGTTTTTATAAATTTTGGTTAAGACATTAATCAGTGTTTATATATCGTTATGTGTGTGCTGTATGTTCTCCTTTGCCTGTCCAAATCTGCCCCTTTCACACTACTTTGCTGCCCAAGAAAGCTGCATGGACTACATCTACAGACTGCCCATGGCCTCTGTATCCTGTCAGATTTGGCCAGTGGGGATCTGCAGCAGGGACGGGGAGGGAGGGAAGGAAAGAGTAGGGTCAGGGTATTTATTCCCTTGGTTCCGCCCTTCAGGGCCTCCCCAGACCATGTGTGTTCCTCAGCCAAAATGCACGTCAAGGTGGCCAACTCCACATGACTCCCTTCAGTTTCCACTAACCTCTCCCTCTCCTTGTCCTTTTGGGCCTAGAAGTCACTAGTGACTCAGTCACTGCTTCACTTCGTGCCCCCACCCTTCTCTCTCTCCTGTGATTAACGTTGCAATTTTATTTATTACTTGTGTTTGCAAGTCACCTTAAAAACTTTTAGAAGAGTATAAGCAAGCCATCAAATGAATAATTAGCCCCTGCTCTTCTCCGTTTACTACATCATCTCTGAACTGAACTTTCTGGAATATAAGCAAGCTCTTTCAGTAGCCTGTCCTACTTACTGAGTTTACAGTCATCGAATATCTTCTAGGATCCTTTTCATTTGAACCACATACTACCTTTTTTTTTCTTTTTTTTTCAGTTTCCAGTCTACAGCATTTCATATATAAGTGTACTTATTTTTTGAATTTTTTTTGATAGAAAATTCATAAACACAGATAAAGATTTTTTCCTCCCACCCTGATTCCCAAACGCCCAGTTCCCCTCCTAGGCAATCAAGGTTACCAGTTTCCTCTTTTTTATTTTTATAGTAAGTTTTTCTTTATTTTAGAATTTTGTTTATGTACAGACATCATTTTTACAATGCACATATGCTGGAGATTTTCTAAGGAATAGGAGCTAGAGATAAAAGTTAAGGGCAATTAGGTGAACTGAAATTGTCCCAGAGAAGCCCTTAGATCGCACTTCCTTAAATGTCCTTGATAACCTCTTCAAGTTCTTCCCTTGTGAACATGTGGAAATTCTGGCCAGGCTGCATGGCACCTAGCTCTGTTAGTTGCATTCAGCTTCTCCTCCATTACTTGTTTGAAGATGATGAGTGAAGACTTGATGGCTTCTTTCAGACTCATAGACATATAAATTTCTTACAAGAAGCTCTGGGCACCCTCTGAAGCAGAGCCAATTGCTCAAGCATCACACTGAACAAAGGTCCCAGGTGGGCCCATATGAAACCTAAGGCCCTTTCTCATCCACTTCTCCAAATAACAGTGGTACTCCAAAGAGGTGAGGGATCTGCATCTTATCCAAACTGCAGAGCCAGTTTGGACACAGCCTGGGTCACACTCTGGCTTTATCAATTAAAATCTTAGAATTAGCAATTGCCCACTCATGGCACAACCTATGTGAGCATCAGTCTCTATAATTTTCTCAATCCTGCATGGTTCCATGAAGGGGGAGGGAATTCTCCATAGCTAGGCACACACCCTCTGATGTCTGGATCAAAAGGGCTGTAGAACCAAGCTTCATAGCCTCAGTGGCATACTCCACTTGAAATAATCTCCCTCCAGGAGGAAAAGTATTCACACCCCTGTCATACTCAGACGGGGTGAAGAACATGGAGAGGGTAGGAGAAGGCAGCAGCGGCCACGAGGGGGATTTTTAAGGCTAACACTGCACCAGCACCCAACTCCACACTGTCACAGAACCAAGGCCCTCCTGGTTTCTTCTTTATATTTCCAGAGATATTCTCTGCATGCACAAGCAAATACATACAGATGTATTTTATTTTTAAAGACAAAAGTAACACACTATATGCATTGTTTGGTTTTCTTTTTTCCATTAAAAGTATATCTTTAAAAGAAAAAGTATATCTTGAAGATCAATGGATATTAGGCTGTTTTCTGTCTTGCAATATTTCAAAAATACTGTAGTTACTCCTAATAATAGACCCTCAAAATATATGAAGCAAAAATTGCCAGAATTGAAGGGAGAAACAGTTCTACAATAGAGACTTTAATACCCCACCTTCAATTATGAATAGAACAACAGATAGATGAAAAGTAAGGAAATAGAGGACTTGAATAACATAATAACCAACTAAATAACAGATACATACAGAACACTACCCAACAACAACAATATGTAATTCTCAAGCCCTCTAGGATAGACCATATATTAAGCCAGAAATTAAGTCTCAATAGACTTGAAAGATAGATATCATACAAAGTATCTTCTCTGACCACAATGGAAGTGAAGTCAACAGAAGGAAATCTAGAAAACGTACCAATCTGTGGAAATTAAACAAACTTAACCAATGAATCAAAGAACAAATAAAAAGGGAAATTAGAAAATATCTTGAGACAAATGAAACTAAATATATAACATACCAAAACCTATGAGACACAGTGAAAGCAGTACTAAGGGGGAGGATTTATAGCTATATAATGCTTACATTAAAAAAGAAGAGTGATCTCACCCAGCAGGTGTTGGCTCAGTGGTTGAACCTCGACCCATGAACCAAGAAGTCACCAGTTGGATTCCTGGTCAGGGCACGTGCCTGGGTTGCGGGCTGGATCCCCAGTAGGGGTCGTGCAGCAGGCAGCAGATCAATGACTCTCTCATCATTGATGTTTCTATCTCTCTGTCCCTTCCTCTCTCTGAAATCAATAAAGATATATTTTAAGAAACACAAAAATCAGTTGCATTTCTATACACCAACAATTAACAATCTGAACAGGAAATTAAGAAAATTCCACTTACTATAGCGTCAAAGAATTTTAAAAACTTAGGAATTAACATAACTAAGAAAGTGAAAGACTTAAGAGAATGAAAACTGCCCTGGAGCATCATCCCATACACCAAAAAGGTTTCGGGTTCAATTCCCAGTCAAGGCACATACCTAGGTTGTGGGTTTGATCCCCAGTCAGGCACATGAGGGAGGCAACCGATTGCTGTTTCTCTCACTTGATGTTTCTCTCTCTTCCTTCCTCTCTCTCTAAAATTGATAAAAACATTAAAAAAAGAAAAGAAAACCACGTTACTGAAATGAAAAACTGAAAAAAATGAAAGATGTTATTTATATAACATCTTATGTTCATGAGTTGGAACACAATAATTGAATATTGTTAAGATGTCAACATTACCCAAATTGAATACAATCAGTATTAAAATCCCAATGATGTTTTTCCCAGAAATAGAAAAACCCACTGTAAAACTCATATAGAATATCAAGAGACCTCAAATAGCCAAAACGATCTTGAAAAAGAACAACAAAGTTGGAGGATGCACACTTCCTGATTTCAAAACGTAGTACAAATCTAAAATAACCAAAACAGTGTGGTACTCGCACAAAGGCAAACATATAAACCAAAGGAACAGAATAGAGAGATTAGCAATAAACCTTTGCATATATGGTTAAATAATTTTTGACAAGAGTTCCAAGACCATTCAACAGGGAGAGGGCAGTCTTTTCAACAAATGGTGCTGAGAAAACTGAATATCCACATGCAAAGGAATAAAGTTGGACCCTTATCTGACACCCTTGGCCGGAACCAAAACTGGGACCCTTCAGTCCATGGGCCAATGCACTAATCACTGAGCAAAAATGGTTAGGGCTAACCACTGAGCCATTTTTTAATTGTCTAATGCCTCTCTTCTCCAGGTCAGGCCCAGGTCTGAGGCAAAGTGCACTAAGAATTGCTAAATAAATATTCATTGAACAAAGGAAGGAATGAGCCAAATGAACATCCTCAATCAGAAGCATTTTAAGTATCTCTCTGGAAAGTTGCTGGGTAGTGAGGAAGATGAAGAAAGGTGACACAGGACTGCAATTTTTTGAGACACTGTAATTTTTCCAGTGACTCACTTGACATTTCACTGCTTGATTGGCTTTCCTGTGTAACTCAACGTATTTCTGGATATTCTTGATTTTCATAACAATCTAACCAAAATGAGCTTTCCCAGTTCATTTATAAATCTGCTCTTGCAAAAAATAAAAATTGCATGCCATCCGAAGTGAAGTATACTTTTTGGGAGCATTTTCTGTTTTACAGTTATTTTCTAAGTAGCATAAATATTTGTACAGTCCTAGATTGAAAATATGTTGCAAAGGCAGGTAGCCATTTGGAAGTTTTCCTTTTAATTAAACTTTTAATTTTTTGAATGTATTAATTTTCTATTGCCACTACACAAATTACCTGAAATTTAGAGGCTTAAAACAACACAAATGTATCATTAAACGTATTCTGTAGGCAAGAAGTCTGACATGGTCTCCTTGAGTTAAAATCAGGGTATTGCCCTAGCTGGTTTGGCTCAGTGGTTAGAGCGTCGGCCCATGGACTTAAGGGTCCCAGGTTCAATTCCAGCCAAGGGTACGTACCTCAGTTGCAGGTTCGATCCCCAGCCCTGGTCCGCATGCATGTGGGAGGCAACCAATCGATGTGTCTTTCTCACATTGATGTTTCTCTCTCTCTCTCCCTTCCACTCTCTCTGAAAAGCAATGGAAAAAAAAATATCTTTGAGTAAGGATAAAATAAAAAAATAAATAAATAAATAAATAAATAAATAAATAAATAAATAAATAAAATCAGGGTACTGACAAGACTACGTTCCCTTCTGGAGGCTCTAGGGGATAATCCGTTGCATTGCCTTTTCCAGATTCTAGAAGCTACCACCCCCATTCCCAGTGTTCTTGTCATCTTCAAAGCCAGTAATGCCTGGTCCTCACATTGCATCACTTGATTTTCTTCCAGAGCTGTATTTATGTCTAACTTTAAACTTTTGCAATTATATTGGGTCCACCCTGATAATCCAAGATAATCTTATTTTAAGGTCATCTGATTAGCAACCTTAATGCTATCTGCAACCTTAATTCCCCTTTGCCATGTAACCTAACATAATTCATAGGTTTTTGGGATTAAGAGGTAAACATTTTCGGGGGCCATCATTCTGATGACCACATGAACTAATTTTAGATTC